TCCGTGATCAGTGATTATGCCTTGCCGAAAGCTCAGGTTAACCGTGGTTAGCATTTTTTAGCAATAAAGTATTTTTAAATTCAGGTATGTACATCTTTTTTTTTTTAGACATAATGCTGCTGTATACTTACTAGACTACCGTCTAGTGTAAACATAACTTTTAAAAAAAATACTTATTTGACAGGGAGCGAGCGAGCATGAGTGGAGGGGTGGGGAGCAGGAGTGGGAGAAGCAGACTCCCTCCTGAGCATGGATTTCCCCCGATTGGGGCTTGATCCCAGGACCCTGAGATCATGACTTGAACTGAAGTCAGTTGCTTAACCAACTGAGCCACACAGGTGTCCCAACATAACTTTTATATGTACCAGACACCCCCCAAAATTCATTTGACTCTATTGTGATACTTTATTGTGGTGGTCTGGAACCGAACCTGCCAGATCTCTGAGGTGGGCCTGTAAATGCATTCATCTGAGAGTACGAAAGGGAAAAATAATAAAATGGGAATAGTGGTTCTGGTAGTTTTGACTTAACGGGGATTTGGTTTTTTCCTCTAATTCTCCAGATACTCTAGAATAGTGTCTTTCTTACTTCTGTCAAAGACTGCCTGTCCGGTTTATGCTTTGCCCCTGGGTATGGCCTGCTTATAGAGTGAGTCTCATTGCTGATGTCTGCCCACAGATCCCTGGCCTGGGGACTTTTACCAAGTCCCAGCCTCATTTCCCCACCTGTAAATGAGAACACTTGACCCTGCTCTGCCCACTTTACAGGGGAAACGGGGGAAGAAAATATTTGGAAGTTCACCTCCCTCTGCAAAGGGAAGGGCAGGTGAACTAGTAGTGAGGGGGGCAGCTAGGTGGGAAGTGGGGGGGGCCCAAGTGCAGGGGAGGGGTCGGGGCTGGTTCTGGGGGTACTGCCTTGCCTGGCCCCGGCAGGGCCACTAGGGGCTCTTCTGGACTGACAGCTGGCTGCAGCTATGGAGGCTGTTTGGGAAATGACTTCCGAGAGAGTCAATCATAAGGCACCTCCCAGCCTCTGCCACGCATATTCAGAAAGCCCACAATGCTCCATGCTTGGTATCAAGGCCAAGAATCGAAATTCCTGCCCCCCATCTCTCTGTAGTCTTTGGTCTGTAGCCTCAGCAAGCATACAGGTCTTATTAGTTGTGTTTTTCTTCCTGCCTTATGATCCAACCATAGGTACTTGATCTTGCCAGTAAGGGTGATTGAAGCAACGAAGTTTGAAATCCCGATTATTCATGATAACTGATTACCTCCTGTGGGTCATGTGTTCAAGTCTGGATTCTCAGAATGGGAATCCACTGACTTCCTGTCCTGCTTTTACAACAGGTTGCCATTTCCTCTCCTGACAATTCTTTTTCTTGAAACTTGAACAAGGGGGAATAAGGGACCTTGGTGTCCAGCGTTTGCAAGCCAAGGGCTGGCTATGTGATGGCTGCAGGTCTTGGACTCATGGTCAGGGCTGGTCTGTCTGGAGAACATTGACCCTTTCACTCCCCAGTCCACCTGTGTCAACTCCCTCCTTTTCTGTGTTCTCTCCCCTGCAGATGTCAAGCCTTCCAACATCCTCGTGAACTCCCGTGGGGAGATCAAGCTCTGTGACTTTGGGGTCAGCGGGCAGCTCATTGACTCCATGGCCAACTCCTTCGTGGGCACACGGTCCTACATGTCGGTATGAGCAGTGGGTTCCATTTCTTGAGCATCTGGCCTGGTTGGGGATAGGGGTGAAGTGGGTGGCTTTTCCTGTGGAGCCAGAACCTGTGTGCTGGGTGATGGGGTGGAGAAGGAATTGAGGGAGGAGGCATCACCGCCCCTCCCTGAGGAGGTGGCAGCATCCGCGTGTTCTCTTCTTCCCCCCATGCCACGAGCTCCGCAGGGGCAGCAATAGGACCATGGGGCAGAGGGCGGGGGGGATCTTAGTTGTCCCTAGGGGGCTGGCTTGGGGCCTGGCATGTGGTAGGTGCTTGGGGAGTGCTTGGTGAGCAGGCTAATGTTCGGTTGACTGAATGGGTGGTAAATGGCTAGGGTGCTGCAGAGAAGGATTCAGAAAGGGGGAAATGTGACTCTCGGTGTGTGCTGGTGTAGAGGGGCATTAGGGTGAGTGGGGATCTCCATGGAGGTGGCCGTGAGTGCAGGCACGGATCAATCCGAGGGGGAGGCACAGAGGCTGGAGCACCGAGCACATAGGGTGTTTTCCGCATTCTCATCCACATCCTTGAGTGATCTCATTTGTTCGATGTGTTTGCCCCGTGAAATGCAGATCATCGCTCCCATTTTTAGAGATGAGGAAAGCCAGATGCAGAGCCTGGATTGAAAGCCAGGTCTCCTGGCCAGTTAGTCCCCTTTGCTCAGCACGCCCTCACTTGCCTCTTGGGTCCGATTCGGCAGCTGCTTCCGGTCCCCACCTTGACAGCCACTCTCAGCATGACTGGCCCAGTACTGACCCACATTTCCATGCCCTCCACTCCAGTGACACACGGTCTTTCAGAAACATGAAACCGGTGGGCCCTCCAGCTTCTTCCCTAAGTGTCTAAGTGTCTAAGAGTTGAGTAGCTAGCATTCTGGGCCGCCCACCTGCCAACTGCAAAGTTCAAAATCAGTTAACAGGCCCTGGGACCTATTGGTCCAGGGTTAGTGGTTTGGGTTTTTGTGGTTACATGGTTAGTTCCAAAATAGTCCAGTGTTTGAGTTAGTGAAAAATCCTCTGGGAGATATTAATGATGTCCAAAAAAACATTCAATGGTCAGAATGAAGATTTTTTTTTTTTTTTGTAGAGTTAACAAATAGCGCTTTGTGTAGCACTATGTACTTTTTCCCTGACTCCTCCTGCCAGTAACAACCCATACTGTGTAGCATTTTGCAGCATCTAACATATATTTCCATTTGGTTTGACCTTCTCAGTAACCCCCGTAAGGAGAAGCGGGTATTTTGTGATGTCTGTATTGTCATCACCACCACCTTCATCAGCTTCACTTTATAGATGAGGAAACTGAGGCTCAGGATCATGTAGTTTACAAGTTGCAGAATTGGGACTTGAACATGATCTCCTGACCCCAGATCCTCTGCCTTTTCTGCTGCTCCATGTTGTCCAAGGACAGTCAGTGAGTCCATGGTGGAGCTGGTCTTAGAGTTCAACTTTCCCGACTGTAAAGACCGGTGTTCTTTCTACCCACTGCACACCTCATTCATGACCCATGTTCCAGAAGCCGCATGTTCCAGACCCAGGTGACCAGATGAGCCTCGCAGGCTGGCCTTTGAACCAGCCACTCTGCACGTGCAAGGCAGTGATGAGGCTGGGCCCAGCTGGGGGCGAAGCTGGAGCCACAGCTGGAGCGGCAGCCGGGGGGCAGGCGGGCCGGAGGCTGTTAGCTGAGGGCAGTGAGGAGGCATGGGTCAGAGCCCCGGGAGCCAGCTGGGATTTGGTGAACACAGTAGTTGGAGGCAGGGCAGAAACCAAATTAAAGCAGTTCGTGGAGGTCCTAAAGAAGATCAAATCCATCAGCAGCTCCACGGCCAGGGCTAAGACCAAGCAGGGCGGCCCACTCCCTGCAGTGCAAACAAGCCTCAAAGGGGCAGGGATTCTTGAGGCCTCCCTTTGAGCCTCCATGGGGACGGGTCTCTCCCTCTGCTGCGTGGGCCCAGATTAGCTCACAGGTGATCAGCACTGTCTGTGTCTCCTGCAGCCAGAAAGACTCCAGGGGACTCATTACTCGGTGCAGTCGGACATCTGGAGCATGGGGCTCTCTCTGGTTGAGATGGCGGTTGGGAGGTATCCCATCCCTCCTCCAGATGCTAAGGAGCTGGAGCTGATGTTTGGGTGCCAAGTGGAGGGAGATGCGGCTGAGACGCCACCCAGACCAAGGACCCCTGGAAGGCCCCTCAGCGGTGAGTGGGGGCAGGGGGGGTGGGGACCTTACTCTTTTTGGGGTTTCTGGAGGGCCGATTCTCTGAACATTCTCCCAAGACTGCCTGCCTGTCTCTGGATGCCAGGCTGGGGCCAGGGCGGGAAGCAGAGCAGGCGTCTCCAGGTGGGTGTTAACATTACTGTTACTACCAACGTCTTCTCACCCTTTGTTGAGTGCTGGCTGTGTTCCTGACACGGCATTTAGTACTTTATATGCACTATCTGAATTTTAAAAAATTATGACCTCTTTTTTTAGGTAGATTTTTTTTTTTTGAGATAAAATTTATATAACATAAGATGCACATTTTGAAGTGTACATTTTAGTGGATTTTAGTATATTCTTCTATGTTGTGCAACCATCACCACCGTGTACTTCCAGAACATGTCCATCACCCTAAAAGAAACCTCACCTCCATGAGCAATCACTCCCATCTCCTCCCACCCCCAGCCCCTGGCAACCGCTGATCTACTTTGTGTCTCCATGGATTTGCTGAGTATTATCTAATTTTAATAGTGATCGTGTGTGAGCACTATTATAATCTCCATGTTAATATGAGGAAACTGAGGCACAAAGTGCCTGACTTGTCAAGACTGCACACTAAGTGGCCAAGTCTGAGTCCTAGGTGCTGAGCGCTGTGCAGCACGGCCTGCCTTTCGGATCATGCATACTGAGAAGTAAACCTGGTACTTGGAAGATCCTGGCCCAGCCACCGTCTTCTGATGTACTTCCTGCTGGGACATTTGTGAACATGAGGACCTGGTGTCTGCCCCTGGGAGGCTCTCATGAGAGAGGGCATATATGAAGGGAGAAACAGAGGAGGGCAGGGATAGCTGATGGTGGTGGGTCACTGGAGGGGCTATGGCTGTGGCCCCTGAGGTTGGCCTGGGACTCTGGAGGATAAAAGAAGAAACCCAAGTTCAGGGAGAATTAAAACTGAGTCCTTGAGTTACTTAGTTATTACCTCATTTACTCCTATCTCAATGTGAGGAAGGGAAGAAGGGCAGACATGATGATTATCCATCTCCACTGCAGCAGATTCACTACTAAGCTTAGCAGTCAGTGGATTTGCCTGAGGTCGCAAACCTTGGAGGTGGTAGAGCCCAGACTCCTACCCTGGCTGGCCAGCTCTCTGGCCTTTGCTGCTCCCCTGTGTGTTCAGCCTTATCTGTGGCTCTGTGTCTCTGCTTATCATCCACAACCCTGTTCTGGTCCCCAGGACCCTTACTCCCAGTCCCTAGCCTCACAGTGGCAAATAACTTCCTGTTTTTCTGAGAAGTGTTTTCTTTTTTGTTATAAAATCTGTAGCTTATGGAATGGACAGCCGACCTCCCATGGCAATTTTTGAGTTGTTGGATTACATAGTCAACGAGGTAAGTACCGCATGGCTTCTTTGACTTTGGTATTTGCTTCTATTAAGAGAACAGTGTATTTGATTGGGATACCTGTGAGTTGTTTGCACAGTGAGGCTTTTTGGGCCCCAAGGGGATTCTTGTAGGGCATCATGCTCTTGGAATGGAGTGGCTGGTTTAGAGGTTACAGGTGTCCCTTCCCCAGGGAACATCTTTGGGTAGCTCTGAGTTTCTCTCCCTTTCTCAGAGTCAGGAGCCTCGAGTGCTCATTCCATTCTTACTGCTTCATTCACCAGGCATTTCTTGGGCGCTTACTGTGGGCTGCATGCACACTGCAGGGTGATGGTAGGAATGAGGTGCGGTCCACAGATGGAAAAACAGAAGTCCCTAGTCGTGAAGACTGTTAGCTTCATGTGGGAGGCAAGACAAATACATACATACCCGTAGGATAGGGTCTTCTCTGGTAAGTGCCATTAAAAACCAGTAGATGTAAAAAAATGACAGTGTAGAAATAGTATGGAAAATATTCACTACAGATTGTGTGACAAACACTACAAAGCACTACGTATATGGTGATCAGTTCTTTAAAAATACGAAAAAAATTCTGTGCATGTTTGTGCATATGAAGTCTGGAAAGTAGTATGAAACTGATTCTCTTGGGGTGATGGAAGTTTCTTTTGGCTTATTGCTGCTGGCTGACTTTAATGCAGAGAACACACATTATTTTGTGTTTAAATTAAAAGAAGATCGAGGACACAAGAGACCGACCAGCAGTCTTCCAACCTGGGTTAGAGGGGGCGGGAAGCGGTGGTGCAGAGGGTGGGACAGGGCTAGAGCAGGGCTTCGGGACGGGATGTTAGGTGGCAGGGCCAGCACGCCCGGCTCAGGGGCAGCCCGGGTAGTGCGTGAGAACCAGCTCCGTGAGGTTGGGGAGGCCGCTGGGGTACACAGCAAAAGCATAGCCCTGTGCTCTTCTTCAAGAGACAAGAGGAATGACTTTTCATACTTTCTACTGCGCTCTAAAACCAGACCTCAAAAGGGTCCCCTTGTCCCTTACAAACTCAACAGGGAAAATCCTGCTTCACCCCAGCAGTTAATACATCACTGGCCAGGGTGGTTAATTGACCTCTCCTTGCTGTCCAGCTTTATGCTAAGCACCATGGGACATGGAACAGAAGTCAGATGTGATCTCAGCTGTTTAAGGATTCAACGAGGCAGAGTGCCTTGCGTCTGTGGTGGTCAAGAAGGCCACCCTCTACTGCTGGGACCTGAGCTGGGGGGGCCACATCAAGGGGGGAGACGGCCTGGGCTAAATAAGCCGCTGCCAGTCCCCGGGTGTGCCCTGCTTGCCTCTGGGGGGCCAGCTGGCTTCATTATCCTCTTCGTACAGGTGAGGAAGCTTTGGGCGCCAGGAAGAAAAGCTCAGGTCCTTCCCACCTAGTGCTCTTCCTTTACCACCCACGCCTTCCAGGCCGCTGGGCTGTGTGGCAGCAGGTGCAGGCGCCTCACGGCCCCTGCTTTGCCCCCCATCCTGCTCAGGACTGGCCTGGCCTCGGGAGGCCAAGCTGTCCATCTCTCCCTTGAGCGTTCCCTTTTTCCCCCTCAGCAGCAGCGACAGTCTGCAGGGTGCCCTCAGAGCTGGGTTTTAGTCCCTGACTCAGATCAGGCTCACTGACCTGCTGTTCTGGTAAGGCCTTCCGGGCGAGAGGGGGAGGCAGGCCTTTTAGGTGGCGTCGGTGGCTTAATTTCCGGTCTCAGATGGCCTGCTGATCTGGCCGGGCACGGCCTGGGAGTCCGCTCACGAGGAGCTGCACTCAGAGCCAGCACAGGTCACGTGAGGGTGGAGTGCGTGCGCCAGGCGCCCCAGGGCCCTGTCCCGTATCACCCCGCGTGACCGCCACCGCGGACCCTGGGAAAACAGAGCTGTTGCCCGTGTCCTCACGCCGATGCCTGCGCACGGCCGCATTCCTTGAGGGAGGGTGCAGGGAACATTCCTTCCAGACTCAGTCTTCTGTCAGCCAATGTTTTACTATTAACCTTGCTCCACTTCTTCAGGGCTCGGAAAAGGGCTAGACATTTGTTACCATTTAGGTAGCTTCTGTGACGTGCACACGTGGGGGTCCGCACAGCCCCGCGCTGCGGCCGCTGGGAGTTGGTGGGGGTGTGTCCACGCCACACCCCGAGGTTTACAGTTGGGACTGTCACGAGGCCCTCCGCAGCTCGGAGAACAATAAACTAAGGTTCGCAGAGAAACAGTGGTTTGTTTCGTCACTAGGCCAGTGAGTGGCAGACGCCAACTGGGCCCCAGTTCTGAGTGTGCGTCGTGAGACCAGAGCTTCCGCCTGGCCTCCCGGGCCTGCCTCCCCGTGGCTGCGTAAGGGCAGCGCCGCGCCGAGGTCTGCAGGGGGGCAGGTCTGTGGGGAATACGGGTGGAGAAGGAAGCACGCCTTTCTTAGGTCCTGACATGTATTTGCAGCCTCCTCCGAAACTGCCCAGTGGAGTATTCAGTCTGGAATTTCAAGATTTTGTGAATAAGTGGTAAGTCCGCTCCTTGCCCTCTGGAGAGTACGCTGCTTTTGTCAGCCTCCCCGCCCAGTCTTGGGGAGCAGAGCTCTGCCCTTCTCCTTGCACTCCCAGAGTGCCACGGCTTCGGGGACTGGTCGGACTATGGCAGCGGGTGAAGCTGCGGCTTTCGGCACCTCTCTGCCGGGCTTGGCATGGTGCCTTTTGGTCTTCGTTTGATTCCGCAGGCATTTGTTCACCTGCGGGCGGGCCGCTCTGCCAGGACAGGAAGGTCGAGAAGGCTCAAGCACTCCTCAGAACCTGCGGGCGGTGGGGGGGCAGGCACGTAAGTGCAAGTAATTGGAGGGCAAACCAGCCCCAGGCAGGCTCTCTCACATTATCTTTTTCTTTCAGCTTAATAAAAAACCCAGCAGAGAGAGCAGATCTGAAGCAACTCATGGTAAGTCCATTGATTTCCAATTTGTACACGTCCTGTTTATTCATTTGTCCTCTGTCAGTCTGCCTGCCCGGTACTCCCTGAGCCCATTCCCTACTCCGCCTCGGCTGCCGGGCAGTGTAAGGGCCGAGCGGAGGGCAGAGCTCCCGTGCCCAGGCCCCAGGGGAGGAGCGCAGGCTCAGGGCGGTGCGTGGGGGCTGTGGCCTCAGCTGATGAGACGAGCAGAGCAGGCTCTGTGGCAGCTGCTGGCCCAGGACGGGCTCCGGGAGCTCCTTCCAAGAGAAGCTCGAGACCCAGGACTCTCGACCTCTCCTTTCGGTTTTTTACCACCACTTACTCTGTTTCCCTGCACACAGGTTCATGCCTTTATCAAGAGATCGGACGGGGAGGAAGTGGATTTTGCAGGTTGGCTCTGCTCCACCATTGGCCTTAACCAGCCCAGCACACCGACCCACGCAGCCGGCGTCTAAGGACGTGGGAAGCGGCGAAGAGTGAGTCGCCTGCCCAGTGGTGTGCCATGTCGCTTCCGGGCCTCTTGCCCACGCCTGTCTGTTCAGACGTGCATCTCACCTATGACAAAGGATGAAGAACACAGCATGTGCCAAAATTCTACTTGTGTCATTTTTAATATTACTGTCTCTATTCTTCCTGTTCTCTCCCTAAGTGGATTGGCTTTGTGCTTGGGGCTATTTTTGTGTATGTCGATCAACACACGCACAACGTTGAATTACAGTGAAACTTTGGTGACCCTGGGTAGTCATTCTTACTTACTGAAAATTGCACTGCTCTTCCCTCGCCGTGACTGGCTAGCTGCCTGTATTTTCGGGATTCTCTGACACTTGGTGGTACTGCATTCTTGCCAGGCATACCTTCTATTTGAGTAGGAAGGGGCCTCGTAAGATCCTTCACAGGCAGTGCATGTGAAGCATGCTTTGCTGCTACGATAAAGAACATCAGAAAGTATGTATCATTTTATTATATTTTTGCTTTTGGTGTAGAATGAAGCAATTTCTATCAAAATCTAGCCAGAGCCCTTCACTGCCATGATAGCTGGGGCTTCACCAGTCTGTCTGCTGTGATGATTTATAGACTTCTGGTTGTATTTCTATATTTATTTTTAAATATATTATGTGGGATATTTAGTGGTTTATGTCTCAAGTTTGAATTAGTGTTTCTAATATGGTGGTTACTTTGAATGTTACAAATGGATCAAGGCATTAAAATGTATGAGATTTCTCTTTCCCCAAATCCAAGTACTGATTGTAAACAAGTGTGTATAGTGCCTAAAAATTGTATGAAAATCCTTTTAACCATTTCAGTCCAGATGTTTAACAAATCTAATCTCTTATTCTAATAAATATACTATCAAGTTAAAAGGATGGAAAAATAGGTCTCCTTTTGGGGAAGGATTTTCAGTGTCTCGGGTACACATACACAAGAAAGTCCAATGATTTAGCCAAGCCTTCTTGTGAGGGCACAGGTGGAGACGGGAAGGAGGCTGGAAGGCAGATATGCCATAGTGAAGACAAGTTCGGTGCCCTGGGCTTTAATGGATCCGTGATTCCAAGTTTTGGACTTTGTCCAACGCTTCTCTCCACTTACGTGTGAATCTTCCAGCTACCTTTCCTGTGGCCCTGTGACTAGATTCCCTCTCTTCCTGCCATTTCTACACAGGGAAAAGCAGTAGGCAAGGTGGGGTTGGGGTGTCACTGGCGTGCTCCCAGGAGCATTCCGCTCTTGGCCAGCCCGACTGGTGTGGGAGCCTCCGCCAAGGACACCCAGTCCCATGCTGCTTTGCTCCACTGAGCAACTGTCCCCCCGCTTTCACCAGTGACTTTTTTCCATTTTCCTGGAGAGGAATGGACCTGGTGCTGGCTTTGTCCTGCCTGTGAGGTAGCAGTGAAGTCACAGAAAACAAAGCCATGGGGCGCCTGGGTGGCTCAGTTGGTTAAGCGACTGCCTTCGGCTCAGGTCATGATCCTGGAGTCCCGGGATCGAGTCCCACGTCGGGCTACCTGCTCAGCAGGGAGTCTGCTTCTCTCTCTGACCCTCCCCCCTCTCATGCTCTCTATCTCATTCTCTCTCTCAAATAAATAAAATCTTTAAAAAAGAAAAAAAAATAAAAAAACAAAGCCATGTCCCAACTGACCACGGATGCCTTTTCTGCCCAAGTGACTTTCGGAACTTGAGGTACACGTGATGCTGCCTGGTTGGCACCTCTTCCAGCATTTTCTTCCAGAGGCAGCTTACAGAAAACCAAAATAAACACGTCTTTAAAAACAAAAGGCCTATTTTGTTTTCAAACTAAAAGCAGGACCTGGGTAAATCTCCTGAGTTGGTAGTTCCATTCTGGACCTACCAGAGCTTGGAATACAGGCAGGATTTTAAAAACTGCTCAGTCGTATATATATCGCTGCCTCAGCCAGTCCATTTTCTCTCGCTGTGAGGCTAACATCTGTTCTAAGTCAACAGTCTAACCTAAACAAGATCCATTCAGACCAAGGTTTAAGACTCACACCCTGTGTCTTTTGCTAAGGGCTAGGACAGGATACGAACCGAGGTCTCCTTAAAATGTGCAAACTGCAACTAGGGAGGAAGGTGTCACCTAGAGTCTAATACCTGGATCTGAATGCTTTCATGTTCAGTGTCTTTTGAGGGGTATTTTAAATTCTCTGTTTACATACAAAAGTGTGTTACATTTTGAGAGTCAAAAAGGTTTTTTTCCTGCTAATTTTTACCAAGAATGAGGTTACCTGCCTCAGTCTGGCTGTTTTGAGTTCCCTATGTCAAATCCCTTCCTTAGACTCCCTCTTGCTGAGACACCAACAACAGCTGTGGTTTTACATGATACCTCGTTAAGCACACCACAACCGCCTGTGAAAGTGCTGGCTCAGGTAAGCATACCTTTGACCACTGGACTCTGAGAGCTGCAAAGAGTTAAGAAGGCCAGCAACCAGTTAGTAGTAGAGCTAGAATTCACAGCCAACTTTTCTAGCTCTCAAAAACCCATGCTCCTATTTTAAATAAAACCCCAAGTGTACAGCTTGACTGCTTTTCATAGCAAAAGTTTTCACACGGTATTTTCCAAGAAACATGCTCATTTAAACTTCTATTTCCTTAAGAGTAGCTCAAAATAACTTTAATGAAATGTTGATTAATAAATACATTCATGTTCTTTTCTGGAACAGTTACAGAAGAAGGTTTGCTTGAGGAGATTCTCTGTTCTGTTTGGCTTTTCTGTTGCTTGGGCAGGGCAAATTTTATAAAATTAAGCAACTACTTAACTGTATATTCACTGGAAGAGGAACAGTATGCATAAGTGAATCTAAACTGCAAGTACTAAGTTTTAACAACTGTTATTCTGTAACTGTCATTATTACAAAACCCCAGTCTTCCAGGCACAGTGATTTAATGGCACATTTCCTCTCTAAGTCCAGAAATGGGTTTTAAACCATCCTGCTGTATTTTTTGCCCCAGGGGAGGAACTAATCCTTTTCTCTGTTCTTATCTGGAAACCAGGAAGCTGCATGACAGCTCTTTATGTGTACTTTATTTCTAAGCACATTTTACCACCGTGATGTCTCAACCTACGTACGATGGCAGCCCCACAAAGCCCTCCACAGCACAGCAGTCCTACCTGCCCCACCGAGGGGTGGCGGCAGCTTGTGCTCTCAAGTGGCGCTCTGTGCTCCTCACTTGTCATCTTTCTCTCCTAGACCGTGGCCTTGCTCTGCTCACAATGGCTCGATGGCATGCAGACAGCCTTTAATTGGTTTTCTGAAGAGGCAATGTTGACTGGAAAGGCTGACTTGTATTTAAACTCCGCCCTTTGTGCGAATGGCAGACTTTCTCAATAGCATTGTAGAGGAAACTCTGTTTGGAGCATAATCACTAATACAGTCACGGCACCACCCGTACTGCTCAATGCTAAGACTCTGCTTTTCCATATGTCGCTAATTTTTGTTAAAGCGTTCTGAAACTTGAGTTCTTGATGGGACCCTTTTCACAACTACACATCCTAAAGTTCTTCCTTGGAAAGCAGGCCAGAAGGCCTATGGAAAGACCATTTTTTTGAAGAGACAAAAGTTCCTGAGATGTAGAAACTCAATTCCTGTAACTAAGCTTGGCTCTTCTCTACCCTGCTTCAGGAATCTGATTCTTCCTCCTCCTCCTCCTCCTCCTCTTCTTCGGGCACATGGCTCCTTGTGCTCAACTCCAGTGCAGTTTGGTTGATTGATGCTTCATTGTCTACATGCACCAACATCTGCTTTAGGCAAGGACATTATGGATTAGTAGGAAAGACACTGGCCTCAAAGCAGCAAATTCTTAAACAGGTTTTAAAATCAAATCTCATTTGCATCCTCATCCCCAATATTTATCATCAGGAGGTAGGGCCACTTCCTATTTCTCCAATTTCTACCCTGACCCTCTTACCTCCACCTCCCCATTGCCAAAATGGGAGGAGAGTAAATGCCCTAGATTTGACAGAATGTTGCCTGATCTACAAACATGGTTCATGCGTAAGAATTATGTTGGCCTAGATGTGCTCCTTTCAAATGGTTTTAAATGGCTTAAACACATCTGGGAGAAGTGCTCAAATACGGTATATTTAGAAAGAAGAATATTGTACTATTTTACTTGAGGACGTTAGGAGGAGGAGATGTTAAGGATTGGAATTCACTTTTTAGCACTATGCTTTGTAGCTGAAGCTACACTCTTAAATCCCAGGCTTACTTATTCATGAGGCAGTGGAAGTTTGTGACAAATGCCTGCAAAGCTCTCCAACTCTCCCTGGGTTCACTGGAGTAACTAGAGAGGTCAGATGACTAGAATGGTGCAGGCAATACGACAGTACCTCGTTAATCAAAGTGTGACCAGCTGGTAGAAAGGTGGGCTGTTTCCTGTCTAAAACAGTGATATGAAATAGCCAGTTTATTAAACTAGAAAGCTCTCACAAGCAATTCCGAGTCCTCTGGGCTTGATAATGTAATTTACAACAATTTTTGGCCTCCAAGCAGCACGAGAGCAGAATGCACTTTGCATTCTCTCCCTGGGCCCACACTTGATTCAACTTACATCATGTGACTGTTCAGGTGCAGGTTGAGAAGATAGCGTCTCATCCCCTCTCCTAGAACTAATCATTGATTGGAGGGCTAGTTCTTCAACCTAGAAAAGAGGTGAGGACACTTTGCTTACTATTTCACTGGGCTGCTGAGCATGCTGTCAAAGGCAGGCATCACGAGGAGACGTGAAAACAGTGTCACCTCTGTGCAGCTCTAGAGGGAAGGGTGGGGGCTCTTTATCTTATCCCCACATTTTTAAGGAAAAGAGCCAAGAAAACCTCCAGGCCTTTCCCCTGGGTGTACAGGTGTCTCAGCTGAGCCAGGACTTTCATTCCCCTAGATACAGCAGATCTGGATAGAAAAGCCAAGTGTGCCCTTAAAAAAGCCAGGTGTCTTCTGATTCCACAGAAGACCAATTCCCTGGACTCTAGATTTCTACCCAGTAATAAGAAAGTGAAGGCAGGAAGAATGGAAAGTGCAAGTGTTTCCTGGAGCATAAGGGAACAGAGGCTTTAGAGGTCAGGGGCAGCATCATCCACAACACACACGCACTGGGTACTTGTACAGGTACTAGTGATACAAAAACATAAATAACTGCAGGCCATGACAACTGTCCTGAGGAAAATATTTTGATATGTCACAGCTGTACAGTGCTTTTAGCGTATAAAAAGCCTTCAAAACCCGCATCTCATTTGGGCTTAAAGATCCTGAAGCAGAGTTCTAAACCGCCCTTATCAGGATCAGCTCACTGGGGCTAAAGAGGGTGGACCAGGCACAGGTGTGGGAAATGGCCCTGGTGCACCAAATCTCGTCCAGGCCATGGAGTCCGTAACAGCTGCCAGAATTCAAGCTACTGGGAACTCTGCGACAACTCTTTGCTCAGGCCCTGGCTCGCTTTCTTTGCACAACGGATCTACGAGTCTCTTCTGGCTTAACAATACTGGATGGGCGCCTGGGTGGCTCAGTTTGTTAAGCGACTGCCTTCGGCTCAGGTCATGATCCTGGAGTCCCGGGATGAGTCCCGCATCGGGCTCCCTGCTCGGCGGGGAGTCTGCTTCTCCCTCTGACCCTCCCCCCTCTCATGTACTCGCTCTCTCTCAAATAAGTAAATAAAATCTTTTAAAAAAACCACAAAAAACCATACTGGAGCCGTTCCAAGCGCCAAAAGCAGCTAGTCGGTGGTGGCTAGCACATTCTGAAGGAGCTAGGGAGGAACGCGTCCGGGACAGGGAGAGCCTAGGCCGGGCTTAGGGAGGTCGCACTGCCTCAGCGCAAGGTGTGCGGGGCACCTGCATTTACGGGTGTTGGGGTGTGGCGGTAGCCTTGCCACACGTACAGATCGCTGGACCTCAGCCTAGACCTGCAGGATCAAGATTCTGAGAGAAGTGGGCCCGCAACATCAAACACGCTCCCAGATGCTTCCCAACCACCCGGTGGACGCCGCCGACGCCTAGGGTTCGCAGGGCGGCGGAGGAGAGGGGCAGCGGGGGGGCGGGACACGCAGGGTCACCTTGAGCCGGTTCAGCTGGTCGTGCAGGGCCGCCTTCAACCGGAGCAGCGTCTCCTCCTCCTTGCGCAGCTCCTGAAGCCGGCTCAGCATGGCGCCTCGTCCCGCCCGCCGCCCGGCCCGGCGCTCGGTAATGACGTCACGACCCCCGCGTTCCCGGAAACCAAGCCGCGGGCTGGGCGGGGCTAGCGCCACGTGGGCCAAAGCGCTTCCTGCCGGCGCCCGCACCCTCGCTGGCTGCTTCACGTTCGACCCGCTCTGCCCAGCACAACCCCGGGTTTTTAACCAAAAAACTTAAGTTCAGTAATCATCGGGAATCCTAAAGCACAGGATGTGGAGCCATAAAGAACTCGGGAGATAAAAATGGCCAAGTACCCAGTTTCAAATGCTTTTGAGCAGTACTCCCAGCATCGAGCTTGAAGTTTTTTGCAACTGAAAGTTGTTTTAAACTCCTTAAAACCTGCAAACGCATCTGAGGGTAGAGACGCACGAGCCCTGTTGATTTTTGCGGGCAAGGATTCCTGGCCACGTGAAAGTGGTTCCCAGGAGGCTGCGCAAATTAAAGCAAGACGATTAAAGCGGTGGTTAACAAATTCAAATGGGATGTGGAGCCTTTAAATGCTAAGGGACAGAGATCTTTGTATCTGCAAACCAGAGGATACATCACCTGGATGTGTACTTTAAGGTTACCGAAGGAAACAAACCAGATGCAAAACAAGACCCTGACAAGAGACAAACATAGGTCAGGAAAGGTCAACCCTTAAGATGGTTAAGACATGCTGACAAAACAGGGTAGGGAAAAAAATCCATGTCCTTTTGGATACACTTCTCTGCGGTATACTTGTCAACATATCCCTTTACCAAAACTGCAAACCCAAGTAGTTCTGAAAAATGCTTCTGAGACTTTCATACTATGGGTCAAAATACTGAGGGTAGCATTTCCCCTAGTAACTGTACTCTATCACAGCAGGTTGTAATAGGAACCATCAATTTCTTTTTGCAGTGCCTCAAAATATATCCTGCCCTGAGAAAAAAAACCCTCATGTAATTTTACCTATTTTCCAAGGCATATTTTTTGTTTTGCGGGAGTGAATTCTTTTTAAAAAAGATTTGAGTGAGCGAGCATGTTGAGGGAAGAGGGAGAGAATCCCAAGCGGACTCCCCACTTAACTTGGAGACCAACACAGGGCTTGATCCCATGACCCATCCATGAGCTCTTGACCTGACCCAAAACCAAAAGTGGGTGCTCAACAGATTGAGGCACCCAGGTACCCCGAGGAGTGCTAAATCTTCTAACAGTTTCTGCACATTTGAGAAGTCTTAACCACTTGCTTCTCAAAAACATTGTTACTACAAATTGGATTTTATATCTGGATTTATGCAACATTCTTCTTCCCATTCAACTGCGTGATTTACTACAAAGGCAAGGCCCTGTTTTAGACCAGACTATAAAATGGAACCAAAAGGCCAGACTTATGGGGGAACAAACAACAAAACTCTAAGATTCACAAACACATCCAAAAAGTCGTGTTTCTCACTGGCCGTGATCGGGTCTTTATTCAAAATTAGCTGTCCAAAATGATTTGACTTTTATAGAATAAACCTAAGTTTTTAGGCAGTAGGCTTCTCCGCAGTGGGTTTCTTTTCTGCAGGCTTCTTGTCAGCTGCTGGTTTCTTGGTAGCTGCAGCCTTTTTCCCCACCACAGGTTTCTTCTGCTTCTTCACACCAATAGCCTTCTTTCCTTTCTTCCCTACCACAGGCTTGCTTGGAACCCCCTTCTCATCTGATTTGGCTTCTAAGGCTGCTGCTGCCTTATCCATTCGGAGTTTGTGCTACAACAAATTAAGAGAACAACTTAAGAATCCTATCTTTCTAAAAAAAAAAAAAAAAGTTGACCTATCATCAAAAACCAAATTAACACTCACATTCTTGGCCTGGCGAAGAATGGTATTCCGGCGCATGGTCTTTGCATATGGGTTTAGCTTCAACATGATCCTCAGGTTCTTCAGTGGATTCTTCTTCAGAACTCTGCGATGAATCTTCTTGCTGTAAAAAGGTAGTAACGTTAGTATTTTATTCACATTATCCACATTTTTGAAATGACCAGCAGTATGAGGCTTTAGCAAGAATAAGTATCACAACTTTACCGTGGTGCTCGGAGGGCTCTTTGGATCTCTGGACTTTTCAAGATTCTGCTAAGATCTGTATTAAGCATCTTATGCATGGGAAGGCTGAGAAGAAAAAAATGCTGAACAGTAAGATGCTCATTCCTATTTCTCAATAACACTGAAACCTTCCAAAGTTCCATCAGAATTTCCATCACACTACCATCGTTCAGAATATCTCACCATTACACAATATTTAATCTGTACATAAGGGGAAATGGCCACACAACACCATCCATTATTTAGAAAACATGCAAACGAATTCTGAATGTGAATATCCACAGCATGAACATCTGTGTTCAATATGTGAACACGAAGAACACTCACTTGTAGTTACTCTTGAGGGAGGCAGCCTTACGCCAAGTGCCATACAGATCGTCTAACTTGCGGAAAGCACTTTCAGTCCAAATGCAGAAACGTCCCACATGCCCACCAGGAGCAAGTTTCAAAATGTTCAGTTTGCTCACATTAAGTAAAGTAATTCCTTTTGAAGGGAAAAGAGAATTAGGGAGCCTGTATTTTAAATACAAGAAACACAAATCATGTCTATGACTTGTGTGCTACATCAGGTACCTGAGAACTATGTCACTAATTAGGCAGTTTCAACCACTGGTGTACTCATTCAGCTGAGAATCAGAAGTTCCACAAAATCATGTGTTTCAGAAACACGGACCATGAAGTGGAATCTCATCATATAAAAGCCAAGTAAGCTTGCATCATATGGGCATTGAAGTAAGCAATACAATTACCAGGGATGTTTCTGAAGGCCTTGATGATACCATTGTCTTCATTGTAGATGATGCAGGGTCCCCTGCGCTGGATACGACGACGGTTTCTCATTTTGCCCTTGCCAGCTCTCATTCGCTGAGAGGCATAGACCTAGAAAGAGAACATTTAGTATCTTGATTAAGGTATGAACCCTGCGATTGATCTTCAAAGTTAAACTCCACTTTACGATGAAAAGGAGCCACAATAAATTGCCCAACATTAACACACAGCTGTAAATGGCAGTCAGGATTCAAACCCAAGTCATAAGGTTTGGGTCCTTGTTCTCATATCCAGAGTTATACTGTCCTCCAGACATCTTTTGAAATTTAAAAATCTGACAAATTTGTGTTAAGGACCACCAAAATGGAAATTTGTTCATTAAGCTTACCTTTTTGATATCATTCCAGGCTTTAAGTTTCTTAAGAAGCAGAACAGCCTCCTTGGTCTTCTTGTAGCCTTCAACTTTATCTTCAACCACCAAAGGAAGTTCAGGAACTTCCTCAATACGATGACCTGATAATGCCAATCAACACCAACAAATACCTGGTTACCCTGAAACTTTTGAAAAATCGAGAAACATTTCATATAATCCACAAAAGCAAAATAGCATATGATGTGCCAAATCAGAATTCCCACAAATATCATGTGTTTCAGAAACACGGACCAATTAAGTGGAATCTCATCATTTTGACAGTTTAAAATAGAGTAGGGACATGACTGAGTGGAAAGTTTTCTAATACACGAAATCACCACATTCCAATTAGTTCACCAGTTATTACACAATATTCACTGATGACTTCCTATAGATTGAAGTAGAACTATTATTTAGTAGAGAGAAATTTAGTCAGGGAACATTGGGATGAATAGAATCTACACAGGTTATTATTAACATGAATGAAATGGGTCAGGTGGAGGGAGAAAAAAAGGGTATTTTGTCCCATTCCTGTAATACAAAATATACAAACCTTTAGACATGACCAGTGCGGGTAAGGCTGAGGCAGCCAGGGCAGAGCAGATGGCATATCGCTTCTGTGTTGTGTTCACTCTGCGATGCCAACGGCGCCAGGTTTTGGTTGGTGCAAACATGCGGCCCCCACGACACATCTATTTTCCCAGTTAAGAATCACATTTCCCAAATTTTAGGAATTATAAAAGGGTTATGTCTTGCTCAGTAAGAATTTTCGTCACCCTTCTGAACCAGCTTACTGACAGCAGGCAACTGTCGCTGAGAACAGAGTAAGACGCAAATTACGACATCATTGCAAGCAAAACTTCCCAATGCCAAGCGCCCTATCTGCCCAGAGCAATGTTTAACCTGGACACTATTCGTATGTTGGAAATATTTTCAAAACTGCTAATGTGAATAAACCAGGTCCAGTCTGATAAAATTCCACAAGAGCTGACCAATCCAGAGTAAAACAAAGGATACATTTCCAAAAGCACCCTGGCCAGAACGGTGAGTCCCTCCGCCTCGAACTCTGGGAATTCGAGCCACAGCTCTGCCAGTACCCCAAGACTCAGCACTGGTTTGATGACCTGAAATTGGGAAGAAATACAAGTTTTAGCTACTCAACCATATCAACCTAGGACTATTATGCATGATAGCAACAGCATCAGAACATCCAGGAAAATCACGTTGATTCAGAAACACGGACCAATGGGAGTGGAATTTCATCACTGCTGTTAAGCACGTCTTAAAAAATATCAACCCTTGAAAAATCCATACCTGCTAATTCACTGACAGCATATGGCTGTCTGTTGTTTTTGCGCAAGTTGGTGTGAACAAAGTTCACGATATCAGGTCGAATGGGAGCCTTGAACACAGCAGGCAAAGTAACATTTTTGCCAGATGATTCCCCCTTTTCGGAGTACACAGATATTAATGGACGAGCACACGCCTGGGAAAAAGAAAAAAATACTTATGTTGACAATATCAGAGACACTATTCTCACATATCAACAGTATCTTTATTTAGGTATTTTAAAAGATTTTATTTATTTGAGAGAGAGAATGAGACAGCATGAGAGGGAGGAGGGTCAGTGGGAGAAGCAGCCTCCCTGCTGAGCAGGGAGCCCGATGCGGGACTCGATCCCAGGACTCCAGGATCATGACCTGAGCCGAAGGCAGTCGCTTAACCAACTGAGCCACCCAGGTGCCCCTCAACAGTATCTTTAAAGACTGAATTACAGATGAGATTCGAATTTGGGTAGACAGACAACGCTTAGGGCTGAAACAAAGGCTATTACGAACACGCCATGTTTATTAACTTCAATAAATTCTTATACTCAAGAACATTTAGAATCTCAAAATCCACCACAAAATTCATCATTCACCTTTCAACCCAGGCCGTACAAAAGAAAATGATCGAAAGTATACTGTAAGGTTTGAAAATGCTATTTAATGTCACCATCTGAACTTCTGCCAACTGTCAGAAATCTGGTCTACCACAGCTCTACTTCAAATTCCTGCCCTTGGCCCCCTTCATCCTAAACACAGCTCATGAAACTTACCAACAAAAATACTGGTCATATTACTTTTTGCTCAACCTCCTCCAAAGACTTACCATCTAAAAATAAACCTACCAAAGTTTTGAGGATGGCCTATATGATCTGCTAGACCTCATCTCCCATAATCTTTTCCAGACATCACTGTCGCTACACTCAGGGCCATACCCCTTCTGCCTCAGTAATCGTTGTCTTCATCCTGAAGAGCCTCACACTCCTTCAGACCACCTTCTGGAAAGTTTCTCTGATCACTTTACCGCCCAACTACTGCCTCCACTCCCATTCCCCATGTTAACAGCAATTACTACCGTAGAATATTTTGGCGTTATTTTGTTCAAATTATGATCCAATCATCACAAGTATTGTCTTTTTTTTCACTGAAATCCCCAGGGCACAAAAACACTACACAATACATGTAACAAACATTATTTGTGGAAATGCAGGGCAAGTGACATTAGTCGTACCACAAGCTAAGAATTTAATGGTTTAGGGGACACCTAACAGAGCAATTTTTAAAGTAAGAGGATCGGGAAGCTCTTGTAGAGGCGATTCTTAGATGAACACAGACGAGAATTCAGAAAAAGGTGGATATACAAATCTTTCCCAAGATCTCTCTCGAAACACGAAAATATTCCTTATTTAACAGCACGTGAAAACACAAGGCCCAAAATTGATTTTCACCCCGATTCAGCCTTAGGCCCCAAGAGTTTCCAAGTTGTCAGGAGAACCAATGCCTTATACGATCCAAGGAAAACTAGAATCCCAGAGGTTCCTCTGCACCTGAGAACGATCTGATGTCGCCCACGTTGCCTCTAAAATGGCTGCCGTAAAGCCGCACTACCCAGCTCCGAGCCACAAACAGACGCCTTTGACCTTCATCCCCTGTTCCTCGCTTTCTCTCCTGAAGATATCATGCCCCAAACCCCTAACCCATTCC